TCCTTTGCCATATTTTTCATTTCATAATGTGCCCTATTTTTTTAGTGGTGACAGATCTGGACTGCAGGCAGGTCAGTTTAGCACCCAGACTGTTTTAATACAGAGCAATGCTGCTGTAATACATGCAGAATGTGGTTTTACATTGTCTTCCTGAAATAATCAAGGCCTTCCCTGAAAAAGACGTCGTCTGGATGACAGCATATGTTGCCAAAACATGTATATATTGTTCAGCATTAATTGTGCCTTCACAGATGTGCACGTCACCCATACCATGTGCACTAATGCCCCCTATACCATCATGAATACTGGCTTTTGAACTGTGCACTGATAACAAACTGAGTGGTCTTTAGCTCGGAGGACACAGTGTCCATGATTTCCAAAAAGAATTTCAAATGTTGATTCGTCGGACCACAGGACACTTTTCCACTTCACATCAGTCCATTTTAAACGAGCTCAGGCCCAGAGAAGGTGGCAGCGTTTCTGGGTCCTGCTTATATATGGTTTCTTCTTTGCATTTTAGAGTTTTAACATGTATTTGTGGATGCAGGGACAAACTGTGTTCACAGACAGTGGTTTTCAGAAGTGTTTCTGAGCCCATGCAGTGATTTCCACTACAGAATCATGTCTGTTTTTAATGCAGTGCTGTCTGAGGACCCAAAGATCACGGCCAGCAAATACTGATTTTTGTCTCTCTGAATCTTTTAATGATATTATGAACCGTAGATGATGAAAAACAAAAGTTCTTTGCCATTTTATGTTGAGAAACGTTATTCTTGAACTGTTGCACTATTTGATGGTGCAGTCTTTCACAGAGTGGTGAACCCCTCCTCATCTTTACTTCTGAAAGACTCTCAGATGCTCTTTTTATACCCAATCATGTTACTGACCTGTTGTCAATCAACCACCAGGTGTTTTTTTAAGCGTTACACAACTTCACCAGCCTTTTGTTGCCCCCGTCCCAACTTTTTTGGAACATGTTGTTTGGCATCAAATTCAAAATGGGCAAATATTTTTCAAAAACAATAAGATTTCTCAGTTTCCACATTTGATATGTGTTCTTTGTACTATTTTCAATGAAATATAGGGTTTAAATAATTTACACATCATTGCATTTTGTTTTTATTTACATTTTGCACAGCGTCCCAACTTTTTTGGAAATGGGGTTGTATAGATATAGTCCACAATTTACTGTTTGGAGTATCTTTCAGGTTAACAAGATTTAATCCTTACATTCGGAGACTTTCTATTTGAAAAGGGAGCCGATCTAAAGGAGTCAAAATATATCAGCCAGGGAATGTAGTGATGTTGATAAGCATGTTCAGAAAACCCAAAGGTATTTCGCTTAAACTAAACCAGCAACTGAACAATATCAGCTTTAATGATGTGATGCAACAGGCTGTATTTTAGAGGTTTATCTCTCGGATGTTGTTTTTATTAAGTTTGCTTCTTTTTTAAAAAGAGACATGAACACATGAAACAATTAGAAACATGCACTGCTTTACTGTACAGGATGAAAGAATTGCTTTTCAATATGAAAACAGCATTTTTGATCAAACATCTCATCTCACAGAGATTAGGAACATTGCAGTAGTACAGCAGTATCAAAAGATTAGGTCAGATGTTTAGACGTATGAGAAAGGTGCACTATTCAACTGCAACAGACAAAAACGCACATGCTAACAGCTTCATTTTGAAAGCAAAAAAAAAGAAAAACAAATGAATATAAAGTTTATATACAGTATGAAGCATACTGCAATTCAGCAAACGCTTGAATGTTTTTAGGAAGCAATTTTTCTGATTCTTTTGAAATAACCTGCTTTTTCTTTACAAACACTTTTGATCTTCTGGAATATCAAAGGGTCTCTGAAACATACGAGGCTGATTTAGTCATTAAGATTCCAAAACCATAATGAACAAAACAACACAGCAGTACGTCTACAACACAAAGGAATCATGGTCTTTTTAACTCTCCTCCCCCACTGCCGTTTCCATGTTTTCCTGCTCTCAGACAGCTCAACATGTGAAGGGTTTGATCACTGGTGATCTCGCGGGGCCAGACAAGATCTCGTAATGAGGACGTCTAAATTTGAGTGGCCTTACTTGGGTGGGAACAAATTAAATGTGACATCTGTATGTCAATCTGATACAACATGAAGGCAGAGCCCGTCACCACTGTCCAGAAGGCAACAAGCTTATCGTTAGCCCATCGGGGTTATGTATGTTAGCATGGCGGAAACCCCGCCCCCCAAAAACATTCCAGTTAAACATGTAGATATGTGCAGAATGCATTACCTCTTGCAACCCTGCTGAAAAAACTCACAGAAACCATTAAGAGTTTCTGTTGGTTCCTGTTGGTTTTGTGATGTATTTTTTGAAGGGTTGATATCATAATGTAATAGATATTAATGGTTTAACCCTTGTGTGGTGTTGGTGTGTTTGTTACTCAGTGGTCTGCTTGACCCACCACATTATTGTTTTTTTTAAATAATAAGCCATAACAATTTATGTAAAAATACCAGATGTTTAAAATATGTGTCCAGCGTAGGGTTCTCCTTTAGCAGCTGTAGCCAGTCAGCAGCCTGTCCATGTTGTCCACCCTCACACATACACACAGACACACACACTAACAGCAGGCCATGTAGGAGGAGAACAGAGTGAAGGACACAGCACCTCCACACTTTTACTCCTCGTAGGTTCACCCAACGCCACATGTGTAATATAAATGTGTGGGGGGTGAACAGAGTGAAGACACTGAAAATGGGTTATTTTATATGTTCTTCACAGAAAATGAGCAAAGACCAAGAATCTGGGGATCAAATAAAAATAAAAATCTTTTTTTTTCATTTTGGTAAACATTGAAAATGGGTCCCACAGACCTGAACACCACACAAGGGTGAAGAGGCGGCCAGTGGCTGATTCTAAATGCATTAGATGATTTCCTAATGAGATCTAAAGGTGTCCTACAGGAAACTAACTAGTGGTCACTATTGGCATCCTTTAAGCCAATTCCAATTAGAAAACAAAACCATTAAGTTTTAATCCTAAAAGTTTCTAATAGTCCTTTTTCATCAAAAGTTTAAGTTTGTTCGTGAACTGTGCCTCGCCTTGGCGGTTGATGAGAGAACCTGGTTGTGGCTGGTCGAGGATTTGAGAAAACAGCCATCAAGCCGGACAGTTTTCCTGGTGTTCTGTGGAAAAAAATCCTCCTGCCAGATTCTCGGAGAGCCAACTCCTCACATGTAAAACTGTAAATGTTAAAAGTTGACGTTGAAAAACAATGAGAGGTCTGTATGTTATTTAACCTGCTAATGTTACTATGAAACAAGTGCCTTAACGTGCCATAGACACGACTGAGAAGTCAGAGTGTGGCCAGGCTATCTGAAATCAGCCTCTCCTCTAACATTAATCTGACTGGGATGTGATTTAACCCACAGTGGCTGAAAGACTTCTCTTCACTTTTGAAAGACCAGTGCAGTTTAGCTTGATCATGTTCATGAATCTGCTCCTCTGTCTGCTTCCTTTGTGCTACTTTAATTGGTCGCCATTCAAAATGTGAACGGGACCTAAAGGAGTTAATCGAGTGGTCTTTTTTGTTCCATGGCAGCTGAACTTATTCAACAGAATAACATCTTCCCTTCAGCCCAAACACAGCACGTTTAAGGCCTCAGCAAACGCCTTGCGTAACGAAGTTCTCGAGGGTTGTGCGAAGCCCGAAAGCGCCTTCACAAGCTTACAACCTCGCATACTGTCTGCGGTTTCGTGTTGCCTGTCGCAGAAGCTCCACGTGACGCCATGATGTTTTGTGATAAGTTTCATGACTGCTGGAAAACGACTCTATCACAGTTCTAACTATGGTGACATTTGGGTTCAGAATACTGACACCATGTAAGGTGGAGCGGGAAAATTCAAACAAGAAACGGGTGAATAGAAAGCCAACTTCAGCCTCGTCCCCTTGTGAACCTAAATATAAGATAGGGGCTTAGTACTAGTTAGTACTACCAAATAGTAGACTTAACATCTTACATTTAGGAGATATTCATTGTTTATTTAACAAATGCACAGTGAAATATTAGTGTATCTGCCAAAGCCGAAGCTCCTCAAAGTTCATCTTTGTTTAATGGCACGCCTCTTTTTTTACTGACCAATCAGAGGCTTTGTCGCATAGCGTCTTCGTACGCAGAGTTCGCCCAGCTGCCATGTGTGCGACAAGGTGAACGACGTCTGCGGTTGTTCGTTTTCTCCACAATTACCCACATATTGTTTGCCAAAGCCAGGCGAACGTCGTCTCCGCAAGAAGTACGCTGAGGCCTTTAGCAATACCAGTAAACAGGCAAGCGTCAACATTTTAAGCAAGTTTAGTGGAAACTTCTGCGCATGTGAGTTTAAGCAAATGCATCAACATTTGTCAGCGTCGACTATTTTCCTTACACCGGCAGTATCCCATGTGAATAAGCAGCTCCCGCAGCTTTTACATAAAGATATAACATTTCTTTGAATAATACAAAGTTCAATTTCACTTGTAAAAACTGCTGTTTAACTACATTCACTGTACAATTTAATAGGCTATGTGTGCTATTCAACACAGTTTGGGTCTGCATTGTTGTCAGCTGAGCTTCTAACCAATGAGGATGAGGCTCTGCCGTCATCAAGCCGTCTCTTAGCTCTCACAACTGGGTGGTGAGTAACTGCGGCGTCCAGTTCTGAAAACTGCAGCCAACTCACTCTTATGAGATTATAACGCCGCATGGTGGCGCCGGTGCAAGTCAGCCTTACTGGCATTCACAGCAGCGCTCGGTGTACGCAGCACTACGTTAAGTCAAACAAGCCTGATGTCTCCAGATGTGTCTTCTAGTTACAAGATCATGCCTGGCCCTGTGAGTCTAGATAACTGGCTGATGATTTGAATAGAGCAAGGAAAACACTGAACTGGGAAACACAGCCTCATTTCAGTCCAACTGGACTCAACACTGGAGTAGTTTGTTCAACACTGATGATTTCATCTCAAATACCCCCCAAACATTAATTGTACATCAAAAATACGAGCCACCTCGCTTACATACACTTCCCGGTCTGAGGCGATCTATTCTCCAAAAAAACAAACAAAATAAAAACAGCAATAAAGAAGAAAAACGTCAACATTCTAACTAGTAAACTCAGAAATGCAAGCAGAGAACGCATAACTGACACCAGGCACCTATGATGTCAACAGCCATGATCAGAAGCGGCATCAAAACCATGCAGCTGTTCCGAATCCCAGATACGTCAGGCTCTGACAGCCTTGACGGGACGCGACGTGACATCTACATTGTACGGCGAAGTCTGTATAAACAGCATGTTTCTTTTCCACTCAGAAAGGTTGAGGGGGGGGGGCAGATTCACCTGCTTTTCCTTTTGTACCGATCTTCATTCGACGCTGAAATTGGAAAATCAAGGCTGAAAGTAGCAGCGGCGTTTTTCTGTGACCCGGAACCTTCGCGGGCGCTAAAATATTCGCTTTCCAACAAAGGCGCTGTGGCCTTCGCTTCCCACGGTCTTCCCGAGGGGGCCCAGGCACGGCAGCAGGTTGGTAAAAAAAAGAACATGAAAAAAGGGGTGAAGAAAGGCCCAAATATCTCTTTCATCTGCTCTGTCTGGACTGTTCTGATATAGTGCCGCGTGCTGCTCATCTCACATCCATCTTCCCTCCGCCGCCCTGATAACCATTATTCTGTCGCCCTGTTCGGTCAAAAGCTCCCAGTGGGGTGCGGCGTAATATATTAGGATGTTTAAATGGCTTCGGAAATCTCGGCGTGGATCAGACACCACATTTATCACAAGATAACAGGAGAGACCTCTTGGTTTATGCACTTCCAGGGCATCTGCTCTTTGTGTTCTGCCAGCTAAACGTAAGGCGGATGCATGTAATCTTTATCTCCTATTATGATGAGCGCAGTGCTCGAGCCGTGCTTTAAACCACAGCCTCTATTATGTCTACGGCTTAAACCTCCACGGTAGTCTGGCCCTGAGACAGCAGTCATCGTTTCTGAGTGAGCGAGCAGGTTTTTGTTCCTGCAAAACCTCCCCTGATTCAGCCGGCCAAGGTGAGCAGAGGCTCTCCAGCAGAAACTCTTCAGAGGTAAAACGCTCACTGATGTTGGATAACAAATGGCTAACTTTCTCCAGAGACTCGCACAACAAGCCAAGTGCTTGTGGAAAAAAACTAGTTTAGCTTTTCAGTCGTCCCTCATGAAGGACGCCCTCTGAACAGTTTCCTCTCAGGAAGACTGAAAAATGCTAGACCGAAGCCCTAAGATGTACCGTAGCTTTGAAAAATAACATCTTATTATCAGCTTATAATGACACTCCAGTGCCATCAACAGAAACGACATCCTGTAAGCTAATAATAAATTCGGCCGCATAAACGTTACATTTTCACATGTTGACAAAACCCAATTACACAGTTCACAACGCAGAAACATAACCCTCGCAGCTGCAGGTCAGATGGGCTTCGTAACTCACCCCACCATAACAAATCCGCTCGAATGACAACGAGACGCTCCGGTCATTATGAATAGTAAAGGCTTGATGATGCAAGGTAAACGAAATCGATATGTAGCTACTGTATAGAAGGCACAGCGACAAATCATCTTCCATCAATGAGTACGCTGAGGCTGCCAAACATCAATGATATGTGATCATACCCTACAAAAACACTGAATAACATCGAGATTTCATATCAAAAAGGAATAAAAAGCAGACATCTGGACAGACGGTAGCTTAGCAACAAGAAGAGAAGCACATGAGAAGGACATCTACTACTTTGGCATGTACATGGAAGTAAGGCATTTTTGTTCTCCTCAAGGGTCACGGAGACCTGTGGGGAAAGTAGTGCATACAAAGTCACGACATCCCTCGTACATCACCCGAAAAAAAGTACAACCCCAACCTGTTCAGTCTTGTTTTGTCCCTTTGCTGTGAGACAATGATACACTGTACATAACATGCACGCACTACCCAGTGACTTCCAGGCTCGCCGTTCTCCCCTCAGGACCGCTCGACTGGATGGCTGGGAACAACAATCTTGCGTCGAAAAAGGAGCCGATGCACATCTCCCCGTGATTTTAAAGGAAGGAAGAGCACAGACGATGAAACGAAGAGAAGCGTGGGCAGTCCTAACGAACGTTTTCACAAAGTTGGCCTCATGGCGGTTAATGCGATGATAAAAAGCAGGGAGAGTGGAATGGTGGCCGGCCGCCACGCTCTCGACCCCCGTACGCTCATACCTGCAACACAATGAAGGACTGTTACAGCATCGATGCTTCCTAAAAAACAAATCCATTTCACACAGACAGCTCAATCACTTAACACAGGTGACAGAGACAGCAACCCTGCGTGCACACCGCTGGCAATGAAATGGCTCAGCACGCTCGGGCAGCCTTCAAATGATCGCTGGTGGGCGTTTTGAAGCGAGAGCAGGCAGACAGGAAGTTGGCTGGACTGCGTGGTCATGCAAACTACGGTTTTAAAGGCATGGGAGCCAGTATTGCCCTGCACTTACGCAGCTTAGGCTATATTTATTAAATAACATCATATGATACAAAATTATTTAAAAAAGTAAATCAAATTAAAATCACAAATTCATAATGTTTCACTTCTCAGAAGTTTTGCTTTACTTTATACTCAAGCCAGTGTTGTGCCAGTTCACACTGAAAATGAACTAGGCCACTATTCTTTTTCAATAGAACCTCTTTCTACCCATCCATTACCAGCCCAAAATCATTGCTACTCATAAACTAAATGAATTATTCTATACCACAGCCTTTAAGTCAGTAATACTCACTGAATGCTCTGTTCAACATTTTCTGTACGCTCCCTGCTTTCTTGCCTTCTTTGTGGCTGCAAACCAGTCACCAATTTGATGAACGATGGCTTTTTGACCTTACTCAAATGTAGATTTCCCACAATGTAGCTAGTCCAGTACAAGCCTGTCCATTGCTGGGAAATGAAGGCAGCAGGTCCTTTACAAAATGCTGTGAGCTTCAATTGGGTGGGTGAACTTTGCGGGTGTTGCATCGTAGTCGTTAATGATTTTCTGCGCTCATTATAATGTCGCATGTATTCCACAAGACAGCTTCGATGTTTCAACTCAATGTGTCGTTTTAAATTCGATGCCACACTTGTGTGTTCATAAAGCTACTTCAAATGCTCAAACAAACCGACTTCTGCAGTTACGTCTCTACCACTAGCGCCAGACATTTGGCTGTGTTTATGGAAGCGTCATGCATCGTACCGTAAAACCTGAGCGGCGCTCGCTCTCATGAGAGTTCACGTTTATTATTTGTGAAGTGATTCGTTCAGTTCAGCGTTCACAAAAAATATGAACATGTTCAATGAACGCTCACGCACAACACTGACTCCAGCTGACCGGAAATGTTTAGTAGGCTCAACTGTTTTGCTCACATTGTTAACACACTGTTATCATGAGTGCATTTCATTGTCTATTAAACAAAACAGTTAACCTATAACATAAGCTCAGTTCACAATGAATCTCAATTTTTATCGTTTTTCAGTTTTTGACATAATTTGAAAGTGTCTGTTGCCCTTTACATTGTGTGTAAGTTTCATGATGAATGGACCAAAAGAAACGACCCAAAATGACTTGGAAAAACGTCTGGTTCCACTGACTCACATTCAAAGCAATGTATGTTTTTTCCTTCTCCTGTAAAGTTACCATTTTGGAAATATGAGGTTTCATTCCGACAGCAGTGATATGCTAAGCTGTCACTTAACTTAAGTGTCATGGTCATGGTCCTCATCACTGTCAAAATCATTGACACTTCCTTCTACCACACCTCATTTTTAATGAGATCCCTAAATATAAATAGACTCCATACAGCACAGTAAATCACACCCCACTGCGACCAGCTTCCCTACATATGCACTGAAACAAATCTTCAGTGGGAACTGAGGTCAGTGCAGCGTTTTCCTCGGGACATAAGAACATCTTTTCTGATTGGTTATCACCGTCAGATTCACTGCTAATTTTAATAAAGTGGAGCAGAGCTGGATGTCTCGTCGTTCAGATTGCTCATGGTCACAGTGCTGCTCACTGTTGAGTGTCGCTGGCTATCGTTCAAAATGAATGACTTCCGGCTGGCTTGTCGCTTTCGACGCCAGCGGTGTGGACGCAGGATAAGAAGATTCCTTGAATGTTGTTTATCTTGTCATCAGAAACTGATGGAATGGCTCCAATTTCCACCAACTTTTGTGATCAATGCCCCACAGCCCAGAACAAGATGACAAATAAAATGTTTTTCAATTTAAGGTGCTCTGCCATACTTTAAGCAACTACTGTACTCTGTAAAAGTCAGTCAAAACAGCCAATAAGAGCAGGATATTCATTTTTCAGTATCAGAAAAAAGCAAGAAATGTATATCTATCAGACCATTAGACAGAAGCCTCAACAACTACATATAATACCAAATCTATCAGTATTTAATTAGTCCACTCTTCACTTTTCTGTACCCTACCACCACTTTAACTCTTGATTCTAACACTTTCATCAACCAATGAGTCACACCTGTGTGTGTCATCCCAATAAGATGTTCCCAAAAGTGTCACTGACAGTATTTTACTCTTCAGAGACACAAACATTCACAGAAGCAACTACCCAAACTCACCTCAGCTGCCTTGCAAGTGTCTCTTATGTGCCTCTAAAATGGCTAAAAGAGATATTCCAGTGTTGTTTAGATATAAAATAATCCATTAGCATAAGAAAAAGGAAAAGTCAAAATGAAATAAGTGAAAAATAGAAGTTTCCAGAAACGAAAAGACAGAGAAAATGTGTAGCTGCTGTTTCTGAAAAGGGAATAAACAAAAATAAGAACATCTGCATTACAACACTGGACATCTGAGATGTGGAGTGAGGTTTTAGGGACTGGGATTACTTGGATTGTGAAAAGCAGAAAATGCAACCAACTTCTAAGACGGAACTTTGGAGGTGTGGAAAAATATCCCTGTATATTTGTTTAAAAATCTTAAAGCAAATCACCTGAAAAGAATGGAAGAATGTAATACAGGAAATGGAAAATTTAGTGGACACACTAAATACTGATTTTACATTTAATTGTTGAGGCCTCTGTGTAGAATAATCTTCTGCACAATACTGTACCTCAATATGAAAAAATAATTTTTACCCTTCCCAAAATTACAGAACTTCTGATTGATTTGCAACATCAATCCTCATTTCTGTTCTCAATACTGCTGAACTGAATTGGTCCTGGTTATCCTCCTATTACTAATGTGTTGTTAACAGTGAGTACTCTTGATAACAGACAGACCGTTTACTTACGAATCTTTCAAAATGTTGTTTTTGAAACAGTATAAAATACATTATTATCCATCCATCCATCCATCCATCATCTAAACCGCTTATCCTTCTGGGTCACGGTGGGGTGCTGAAGCCTATCCCAGCTGTCATTGGGCGGAAGGCAGGATACACCCTGGACAGGTCGCCAGTCCATCGCAGGGCTACATTATTATTTATTTATTTATTATCATTATCAATTGTATTACAAATACTGCACCACATAAAAAACCGGGTTCTTTCTAGGCCACAGCACTGAGTTTAAAATTCTGCCTCATTAAACACATCTAATTAATCTTATCAGCTAATTAGCAAAGCATTCATGGGTTGAATCTTCAGTGTTAAAAGAGAAAGAAATGCTCTGTAGAACTGTGGCCCAGAAGGAACTCAGTTTGACACCCCTGCTTTACACTGCAAATCCTGTAACAGGTTCTGTACAGCTTGGTATTATAGTTGCAGATGGTGTGCGATCTCACCTCCTGGAAATCACTGCTTTGAACAATTTGGAATAACGGTGCTTTTGGAGTAAACACAATAACAGCACTTTGTCATGAATATTTTGGATATTTAGGTACATGTGCCGTGTACACCGATCAGGCATAACATTGTGACCACCTCCTTGTTTCTATGCTCATTGTCCATTTTATCAGCTCCACTTACTATATAGGTGCACTTTGTAGTTCTACAGTTACAGACTGTAGTCCATCTGTTTCTCTGATACTTTGTTAGCCCCCTTTTACCCTGTTCTTCAGTGGTCAGGACCCCCATGGACCCTCACAGAGCAGGTACTATTTGGGTGGTGGATCATTCTCAGCACTGCAGTAACACTGACGTGGTGGTGGTGTGTTAGTGTGTGTTGTGCTGGTCTGAGTGGATCAGACACAGCAGTGCTGCTGGAGTTTTTGAACACCTCAGTGTCACTGCTGGACTGAGAATAGTCCACCAACCAAAAATATCCAGCCAACAGTGTCCTGTGGGCAGCGTCCTGTGACCACTGATGAAGGACTAGAGGATGACCAACACAAACTGTGCAGCAGCAGATGAGCTATCGTCTCTGACTTCACATCTGCAAGGTGGACTGACAAGGTAGGAGTGTCTAATAGAGTGGACAGTGAGTGGACGCAGTATTTAAAAACTCCAGCAGCACTGCTGTGTCTGATCCACTCGTACCAGCACAACACACACTAACACACCACCACCACGTCAGTGTTACTGCAGTGCTGAGAATGATCCACCACCCAAATAGTACCTGCTCTGTGAGGGTCCATGGGGGTCCTGACCACTGAAGAACAGGGTAAAAGGGGGCTAACAAAGTATCAGAGAAACAGATGGACTACAGTCTGTAACTGTAGAACTACAAAGTGCACCTATATAGTAAGTGGAGCTGATAAAATGGACAATGAGTGTAGAAACAAGGAGGTGGTCAGAATGTTATGCCTGATCGGTGTATACGAATCCTCACTGACCCTGCCACACACAGACACGGCCGAGCTGAAGTAACCGTCTAAAACTAAAGCCTTTTTCATACCATAGCAACCACAGCACAGTCTGGCTTAAAAGCAGCAACTTACAGTGTCTTAAAAAAGAGTCTGTCTACCTTTCGACCTACGACCATGTGGGCAGAAGGTAATTAGCTGGTTGATATTTAAAAGCTGTCAGAAAGAAGAGAAAAATATTTCAGAAGAAACAAAAAACTAACTAAATAACTACTAACCTGCAGGTTAAGGTGACGATCTACTGCTTTCAGGAGACTTCGGCTTACAAAACGCAAACCCCCTTAGCACTAAATGAGCACAATTAAAGAAAAAAACTCAGAAACGAAGCAGTGGAGCCCTGCAAGGTTTGTACACAGATCGAATTAAATACTCCTCCACCAAAAGGATGGCAAAACTGAACCATAGAGAAAGGAGGAAAAGG